TCCGTAAAGCTATCAAAACCTGGATTTTCCGGCAGGCCTGGGGCTGTTGACCTCTTGATTGAGGTCCAACCCTGCTTAGACTGGGTGCATGTGGTGTTTCCTTTAATTTGCTGTATCTTATTTGTTTTAATCTTTTCTTAATATTTCTTATTTCTGTAAGCCACCCAGAGTCCTCCGTGATTGGGTGGCCTATAAATTCAATAAATAGAAATAGAAGCATCCGAATTTTAATCATATGATCACATGGGGATATTGCAAAGGTCGTAAGTGTGAAAAACAATCATAAGATATTTTTGATTGGTCAGTAAGTGAGCATTTGTAAGTTGAGAACTATCTGGATGTCTAATAGTTACCATTGGTATCTCAATGAAATTTATTTACTTCCGTATTTATTACTTGTAAAATGTAAGTATGCAACATCCCAGGTCAAGATCTTTTCCCATACACTGTGGAGATGGGTACTATGTGAATTAAGTGATATTTTCTAACATCACCTGAATGAAAATGTGAACTTTAGAGAAAGTGGCAATCCAAAGAGGTCTTAACTCTTTTATTATACTCATATATTCAGACTTGCTTCTGTGAAAGGCAACTGGTGACTATGTTCCACAAAACTAACATATTGTGAGCTTCACAATAGCATAACATAGCATTAGATTTATTACTGTCTTAGGCAGGGACAAAGTTAACTTTGCAGATGACAAGAATTCAGTTCTTTTAGTAGAATCTGTTGCCTCGTTCTCATACTAGCCAGACAGAATTTAGTTACAGGTAAACAACAGTGTTCTTACAGCCTACTAGGAGAAAATAGGTATACTGAATATCATCTCTGCCTGGGTATTCTTTTATGAGAAATCTACTTAATTTATGATGTACCTTTCTGTAGAAATTGCAGTCTAATAGGATGTGTTGTCCTCTGTAGTAAGGGAATCACATGGGCAAAGGGATGCAGAGAAAGGAATTTTTCAGTTCTTACCATCAATAATTGCTGAAGGCAATGCACCAAATCTAGCTAAGACAAATGCTCTACAATGTATATAATTTGTTAAGGACTGGCAGGAATCAGATGGCTTAGTAATAAAGGTAAGCCTTCAAGATTTAAGTTGCCTTAAATTGCCTCATGCTAATATCTTGATACAAGATTTGTCTTCTTCTTCAATGTTCATTTGGTTTGACTATCCCATTTTCTGCATTTCCTCACTAAAGAAGTTGTATACTGCCAAAAAATGTTCTACCTTCCAGGTAGATTGCAAGTTATCCTTGTTAATCAGGGAAATCAGCCATTCAATTCCCCCCAGGATTAATATTAGTCATCAACATATTAAACACTTTTTAGAGAAGTAACTTTCTCCTACTAGGACTACCTCCATATTGGGTAAACCCAAGTAATGAATTAATAATTAGACTAAACAACTGGAAAAAAAATCTCAGTGAAATAATATTGCTAGAGCAAAAAGTGTTCACCAGGTATAGATCACACCATACCAGAGGTGGGTTCCTACCAGTTCGCACCTATTCGGTAGAACTGGTTCGTCAAATCTACTGAACCGGTTAGAAGAGGTTTCACCAGTGGACCCGGAAAGCAGGCCACACCTACAGAAGAGGTTCCAAAAAATTTTGAAACCCACCACTGCCATACACACACAGACACACAGAGACAGACAGACTGACACAGAGAGAGAGAGAAAGGAAGGAAGAAATAAATAAAGAAAAAAAGAAAAAAGAAAGAAAAAGAGTGAGAGAGAGATAAAAGAAAAAAAGAAAAAAGGGACAGAGAGACAAAAGGAAGGAAAGAGAGAGAGAGAGAGAAAGGAAGAAATAAAGAAAGAAAAAAAGAAAAAAGAAAGAAAAAGAGTGAGAGAGAGATAAAAGAAAAAAAGAAAAAGGGAGAGAGAGAAAAAAGGAAGGAAAGAGAGAGAGAGAGAGAGAAAGAAAAGAAAGAAAGAAAGAAAGAAAGAAAGAAAGAAAGAAAGAAAGAAAACACATGGCCGGCAAGCCACTCCCACCAGGTCACATGGCCGGCAAGCCACTCCCACAAAGGAGGCCACACCCACAGAGTAGGTTCCAAAAAAATTTGAAACCCACCACTGCACCATACCAAGCATTACATTAGGAGAATTATTCCATCTATATGAAAGAGATCACAATAATGCCAGTAATCTTTTTTTTAAAAAAAACTGCATGTATTAAATTAATATTTTCTTTTAAAAAAATCATATTTATGGCGTTAACTTATCAAATATTTAACATCTGTTTTTCATTATTTCTTTTCTTCCAAAAACCCTTCTTAAATGGATTGCTTGAAAAAGCAGTTTTGTGCATATGCCTCTAAAATAAACCAGTGGACTGCAAAGTAAACATAAATAATTATCTCCTGGAGTTACAGTTAATTCTGTGTATACTAAAAAAAAAATCCATCTGACCATACTATTTAGTTAAGGGATAAAGAATACATAGACAAACACATAAATGGAGGCAGAGGTTGTTGAGACAATGTTGATTCTGCAATCTGATGACATTAATTTAGCATACATAAGTCCCCTAAGGAATTCTGTTACTTAATGATTATATTGAGATTTTGACTAAATTAGTGACATCTATTAAATAAAGCACTCCTTAGGAATGGGATAATTGTACTGGAACACATTGATTCAGGTTTTATTAACTCTTGTTCCTAATGCAACATAGCATCTAATGCCAAGGCTAAGGTTATTTTATAATTTCATCATTCCAAAGAAACACACATTGAGAATCACTTGGTTTCAGTGGTTAAAGTGTTGGATTAGCTTTGGGGAGACTTAGCTTCAACTTAATCTTCAGCCATGGAAATTAATTTGATGTCTTTCAGCCAGTCCCTCTCTCTAAGTCCACCTTAAACTCCTTAAATAATCACAATTTAACAGATAAATAAACCTTTCATGTGGAAAAAGTGGTCATTTCCAAATTAAGTCTGATCCAAAGTAGATGAGCAATTTTTTTTTAAAAAAAATCAAGTACTGTATATCACTTACTAAAAGGTCTCTTACCAAGACAGAATTCATCACACAACAGTTCCTGCAAAAAGCAAGTATATAAAAAAAGGAATTCCTACCAATTCCAATAAAGATTGCTTTGTAACCATCATTCTTTAAAGCACTGAGTGTCAGTCCTTCCACCGAAAGACTTGTTCCACAGATAATCTGAAAGATAATATTGGAGAGGTCTTCATAAGTTTATCAGTCACTTTAAAAATGTATTTTATTTTTCTGATTTTAAGGAAAGAAATTAATCTAGATAAATTTATTTATTTAATTTATACAGCTGCTTGCCTCACAAGTAAGTGACTTTGGTTGGCATGCAATAAGACCAAAATAATAAATGTCTCATATCGTTAACAAGTATTTACGGCAAATGTTTAAAAAAACCCTATAAAAACAGCTAAAACAGTTTTTATTTATCTGATTTTTATAGCTCCCCATCACACAACTAATGGTGCTCTGCAGCACACAATATCAAATTAAGAAGCTTTGTTTTGGTCCTTCAGTTGATTATTCAAGGACGTAATGGTCCACTTAAGGTCAACGTAACCTTTAAAAGATGATCATAGACCTGAATTTGAGCCAGAATGGGTTCAGAAAACATATTGTGAAAATTCCTTAAAGGGTTTCGGTATCAGCCTATTTCTGAATGCAACTGAAGTTTGTATTTAACAGCAAAATCAGTGTGACTTGAGTTTCATAGACATGAAGGAACACTTGTCCCTATGTCACCCTATCATATATTTAGGTCATATTCAAAAGCGGTCTTCCTGATACCTCTGCAGTCTCAGATGGGCTGCCAGAGAGATGGCATTCACTTCATGAATTCCTTCCACATAAATACTTTCCTTTTCAGAATCTGGAATGCAAATTTCTTCTCCAAACTTCTTTTTTAAAAAAAAGATTTTCCACTTGTAATACTCTAAATGTGCTTATTTTTTGCAAAATGTTGAGAAAAATGTTTAAATTATAAATTCCATTTATTTATAAATAGATAAATATTTGATTTAGGTCACCCTTTACCACTCTGAGAAATATTTAAGGGAGAGCACAAAACCTAAACAATAAAAGCAGCATATAACTTATTTAAAAACACACATTAAAATTAACAATAATTTTAGTGTAAGTAAAACATTAAATTAGTGTTTTAATATTATATTTTAATCAGTTAACAACCTAGCAAAGGATATCCTTCCTTACAGTTTTCCTAAGTGTTGGGGGGGCGGGGCAGGAACACATGCAATTCCCAAGAAAATACATTTTACATCTTGGGCATAATGCAGTAGAACACTTGTTTTAAATCTTTTCTTCACCACCACCACCACCCCTTTAAATACCCTCGGCCATGTTCCCCCAAGACTTAGCTCAAGATTTAAATCATAACATTTCTTCAACCCTTCAGAAACCCCCTGGGATGACACTGCGCCCCCCTCAGGGATCACAGACCACAGTGGGAGTTTCTTCATAAGAGCCTCTCCTACATCTCCTTAATTGCCAGAAAGGTTTGCAACAGGAGATGTAGTACAATGGATAATCAAATCCTAATATTTAAAGATCAAGTCCAAGACTTTAAATTGTTACCTCATAAGCAAATGCCAACCAGTCTATTGTGAACAGAGCATATTATACTTTTTTTTCTTATACAGTGCTGTGAGTTATATTTATATGAAATAGAAAAACAAGGTCATCATATTATTTAGCCTAGTCTTGTAAATTTTAAATTATCAAATTATTTCCAGAAAAGAATTATGGACATAAATAACAACTCCCTGTGTGCAGGACAGTATTATATTCTTCACCTGCATGCACTTAAGTTGAAGCCTAAGAGCCAAAATGATTGTAAGTAAAATAGTATCAACACACAGGTTGGTTTTAATAATTTTATCACCTACTTTGTACTGTCATTCAAGGGCAGGTTGTTATAATCAAAACTGGTCTAAAATCTAAAGTTTAAAAACTTTCATCAGAAATCATACCACATTACTTCTTTTTAGGGACGTTCAACTATAACTAAGATTAATTCCTATTTTACGTCTTTTTGTTAACATGCAAAAGAACTGCATGAGCTCTTTTTTGTTAACAAGTACTGTATGAACTGTGTGTTTATATTTTATAAGCACGCACACACATACACACCGACAAAATGTCTCCTGGTTTAATTTTTTTTTTAACCTAAAATTTAATTTTAGGGAGAGGAAAAGACAAGTTGGGAGGAAAAAGCAGAGACAGCCACCCATGATTAAAGAAATAAAATCCTTGCAATAGCTACGCTGAACCCCTAAAGCAATTTAGGTATTTGTTTCTTACAAACAATTAATCACATGCAGGCAAGCCAGATGAGCTATTGATTGCCCTTTTCCCAACTAGTGGCATTCAGACAGCAGACAGACAAATGCCCCAAGCAAGGGAAAGCATCTTCCTTCCTAAGCCTAGTGTAGCTTTTAATTGTTCTTTACTAAAGTCCATAACATTTTGCTGTTAATCTTTAACAGTGCTCTGGCTCCTTTTTCGGTACAGCTATACCAAGGCAGTTTATATTTTTCATCACCTTCACTCCGAGGTCCTTCATAAGCCTAGTTTCAAAATGTACTACATCATATGGTAGCCGGAACTGGGGAATTTCAGATGTGCTGGAAGAGAACAAATAAAAGAGAACCAATGAAACACTGCTCAGCTATTTCCTCAAAAGACAAGAGTTTCTTGGAAATGATACATGCTAAAAACGAATAAAAAAACAAGAAGAAACTGAAGTCACAAACAAACAAATATCACCAAACACACTTTTAAATGATGGAGAGAAAATATCCACCATACAAGTAGAACTTTTTTCTTGCTCAGAATTGTTACGCAAGTCAATTTGATACCTGCATACTAAACTAAACTATAGATCAGAATGCCGTTACCTATTTGTCTTTCATAGATGGATAAATTCTACTACCGCATTCTTGATCCTCAAAAAATGTGTCCTAACTGCCTCTAAAATCTATTTGGAAATGTGAGATGTCATGAAAACACAGATTTCGGGGATAAAATATGTTCAAAATGTTTTCTGTAAGTTAAATATATATTTAAGTATGCAATAAATGCCAAAGAATTTTAGATTCTGAATTAAGATAAGGAATGGAATGGAGCTGCATTCAGCTGTATTGAAGACAAACTTACCGCTATCCACAAGAGATAACCATATTAACTCATATGGCAAGTTGGGAGTATTTGGGACAAGGAAGTCTATTTGAAATATGGAAAGCGTGTCACAAAATGGCGGCACTTCTGTGGTCCTTCAATAAATACTCATTTATTTATTGAACCGCAAAATGGGTGGCATATAAATTTAATAATAAAAAATTGCCCACGTTTATTATTTTTATAAATAATGTAAGGCAGTGAACATACCTCATGCTCCTTCCTCCTCCTACTTTCCCCACAACTTTTTTTTTTTTTTTTGTAAATGTGTTTTTATTTTCCATTTTCATTTCGTACAGTCACATATATACTGTGCATAACTGGGGCCATATAACATTAAACAATAAACACATCCATTCCTCTTGTCAACAATACCCCCCAAAATAGAAACTCTTGTGTGGTGGGTTGGACCGAGAGAGAATGATTGGCCCAAGGTCACCCAGCCCTCTTACATGCCTAAGGTGGGACTAGAACTCACAGTCTCCCGGTTTCTAACCTGGTGCCTTTATCGCTAGACCAAACTGACTTTTCTAATGTGGGATACATTTCCAAAGAATTCTGATGTAATCTAGATAGGCTTTAGCAAACAAAACATAAGTTAGAAGCTAGGGTTTTCTTTTCCAGCATGCCAATTTCCATTTAACTCTTTTTAGCTACAAGCCATATTTGAAACAAATCAAATTCAAATGAAACAGGGTGGCAGGTGGGGAAGGAAAGCATCTGGCATTATGTTGTCTTCCTCTGACCAATGTTGGGAATGTGAGGCAAGCATATTGGAAGCTTTTTTTAAAATGATTGCTGTCATTTTAAATGGAGCCGTTTAAATGGAGCAGGACCCGTTGGAGCNCTGGGTCCTCATTTCACCCACCTCGGAAGGATGGAAGGCTGAGTCAACCTTGAGCCGGTGAGATTTGAACTGCTGAACTGCAGATAGCAGTCAGCAGAAGTGGCCTGCAGTACTGCACTCTAACCACTGCACCACCTCGGCTCTAGAAGACAAGCACCACACTGGGGTCTCTTAACTGTTTTCCTTACATACCTCTGTCATTTCAGAACCCATTACAGGTAGCCCTTGTGGAATGGCCGCTCATTTTTTTGATGCTGTGATGGTGTGCTGAAGAAGGTGGATTTATGACTAGTTGTTGTATGTAATAAACCTTATGCTCCCTTCTGTGCATTCAAAAAGGGGCTCAGTGGGTCAGCGGTTAAAAGCGCTGAGCTTGTCAGTTGTCTCACTTATCAACTGTCTTGCTTAGCAATGGAAACTTTGGGCTCAATTGTGGCCATAGGTTGAGGATTACCTGTAAAGGATATTTGCCCACCTTTGGTTTCCTGTATTTAACCAAAAGTTCAGATGAAATTATCCTACCAGCAGATGCTTTAACAAAGAATGGCCAGAGACAAGAATATTTGCCTGTAGGGCGTATTCCCTGCCACATCCTTTTGTCAAGCATTAAAAGGTCAACACCCTTGATATAATGAAGAGCAATGAACTTCATGTGAATACATAAAAATTTCCTGGAACCATTTCACTTCCTACGGTGTTAAAAGGAAAATACACCTCTTCAGGGGAAACCTGTCATAAACCCAATTTTGGATAATGTATTTGCTTCAGTGGTGGGATTCAAAAGTTGTTTCTGTGGGTGTGGCTTGGTGGGCATGGCATGGCTTGATGGGTGTGGCTTGATGGGCATGGCAGGGGAAGGATACTGCAAAATCTCCATTCCTTCCCCACACCTGGGGGAAGGATACTGCAAAATCCCCATTCCCTCCCTACTCCACAAACCTGCTTTCCAGCTCCGTTCTCCTGAACAGCGGGCAATGAAAGAAGACTCAGCTGATCAACTGGGACTCGGGAGGTAGCGGGGCCACCCAGAGGTGGTATTTGCTGGTTCTTTGAAGTACTCAAAATTTCTGCTACCGGTTCTCCAGAATTGGTCAGAACTAGCTGAATACCACCTCTGATTTGTTTGACATACAAGCTTCTCTTTTGACAAGGTGGAGGACGGGTACCAGTCCAAGCATGGTTGTGGGAGTGAAGGACCTGCTTTTGTAAAAGACCAGCCTTCCCTTGAGCAAAATCACTCAAAGTCTGCCTGCTGTCTATGTATAGCAAAAGAAAAGGAAGCAGAAGCCAAAACAAAACAACCAAACCACCCTTTCTCCAAGTAGGATAAGAAATGACCAATGTTTTTAAAAGGAAACTTGTCATGAACCAAGTGTAGGTAGTCCTACACTTGGTACGTAGGTAGACGTACGACCACAATTCAGCCCAAAATTACTGTTGTTAAGTGAGACATTTGTTAAGTGAGTTTTGTCCCATTTTATAACCTTTCTTGCCACCATTTGTTAAGTGAATCTCTGCAGTTGATAAGTTAGTACCCATGTTTACCCGAAAATAAGACAGGGTCTTATTTTCTTTTGACCCCCGAAATAGCACTTGGCCTTATTTTCGGGGAGGTCTTACTATTTTTGAGGTGCAGGACGCAGCAAGCGTGGTCGCCTCATGGCTGCTGCTGGGTTGCAATATTTTCCGGGAAGTCTTATTTTCAGGGGAGGGCTTATTTTAGCGCATGCGCTCAAAAGCCCAATTGGGCTTATTATCGGGGGAGGTCTTATTTTCAGGGAAGCAGAGTAACTCAGTTGTTAAGTGAATCTGGCTTCCCCACTGACTTTGCTTGCCAGAAGGTGGCAAAGGGTGAACGCATGATCCCTGGGAAGCTGCAACGGTCATAAGTATGAACCAGTGGCGAAGCATCTGAATTTTGATCGCGAGATCATGGGGATGCTGCAAAGGTTGTAACTGTAAAAAATGGTCGTAAGTCACTATTTTCAGTGTCCGTTGTAACTGAATGGTCACTAAATGATCTGTTGTAAGTCGAGGACTACCTGTATTGGTATATAGTACCAGGCTGACTGAATCAGCTTTCTGAGTAAGGCATATTTTTATCCCTATCTCAGAATGTAGAAAGCAAGTGGAAAATATGGAACGAAGGAGTGTAAGATTTCACCCAGACCTCAAACATGAAGATCAGTAGGTCATATAGCTCTTTGATCATTCTAATTTTATTATAGCTACTAGGAAGGATATAATTGGAGCAGAAAACCAGCATTTGCCAAGTACTATATGAGCCTGAAGCCAGTTTCAAACCTTATATTTCTTTTTTCCACCTGTGTACCATGTTAGATAGCAAACTGGTTATTTCTCAGTGATGGACAGTGGTGAACTATTATGGTATAAGCCTGCTTAGTCTCTAGTTTTTTGTGTGTCTGACCTTGGTCCTTCCAATTTCCCTAGATGGCATCTAAACTATGCAATGCAGGCTTTTTGAACTGTATCCAGAAATACTGTATGTTATTTAAACATGCTCTACAATTTGAGCAGTGGTGGGATGCTACCAGTTTAACAACCAGTTCGGTGAGTGAGCGCTTTGCATGCTTCGTGCGCATGTGCAGCGCTGAAAATGGAGCATTTAGAAGTTCAGTTGCTTACCTTCCAAGTTAGCAATGGTAAGTAAAACAGCTGGAGGAGGGGAATCAGCTGTGCTGCACAATTGAGATTAGCTAGAAAGCAAGAAATAAAGGACAGGACAGAGCAGGGGTGGGTGGGCAACAGTCATGGATTGCAGGCGGTACGTCCCGGTACGGGCGTACCGGAGCCTGCCCCGAGCACTGGATACCGTTCTGATACGGTGCTCTGGAGGGCCCACCCACTCGCCTGAGCTTCTTACCGATCTTTTAAGTCTTTGGCGCTTCCGTACACGTGCACGGTGCATACGACACCTGTGTGACACTCTGCTGAGCAGCTGGAGCCTCGCGGAGGCGCTAAGGTGCATATTTATGCTGCGGGTGTGTGCATGCGCACTGCGTGCATCCATGTAGATGCCGCTGGGCCCACCACTGGTGGACAGTGCCAGCTGATCATCGGAGCTATTGGTTTGCCCAAACCAGTCCGAACTGGCTGAATACCACCTCTGAATCTGAGATATTGAATTAGTTCCTATGCATACAGGTAGTCCTTGGCGTACAACTGGTGATTGTCGAAAGTATAACAGACTTGCCAAAAACTACTTACGACCTGATTCTGAAATTTCAACCACGTGACCACTTTTTGAGCCCACGGCAACGGACCCACATTTGCAGCCATTTGCAGCTTCAAACAGTCACGTGACTGTGCTTCACAATGTTTTTCCCCCCCAGAAACCAGTGTTTACTTCCAGTTTCCACTTGGCATTCATTATATTACTGTAGCGTTCATTGAAGGTCGTAAAATTGGGTCCGGTCACGTGATGATCCACTTTACAACTGTCACAACCTGTGACTGTAATTGTGGAGCTCAATTATGATCCTAACTCAAGGAATTCCTGAATGTCCGTTTACCCTCCAGCCCTAATCCAACATATACCTGAAAGGAAACTGGCGTGTTTTTTGTGGTCGTGATTTTGCTTCCGCAGGCAAAAAGGACTGTCGTGGCTCTCTGGCACCAAACGGGACTTCTCGGTGAGCAGTTCCATCAATCTCCTTCTGCGGCGGAAATTCATCCGGAACTGATAGAGCAGGTTGCTATCCACAAAATGGTGTTTGTTGGATACTAGTGGTGGTTAAGAAAGACAAAGAAGGCCTTTGAGAGAAGAAGCAACTTAGAACTGAGGATAAATTTCCTGTCAGTGAGAACAATTAATCAGTGGAACTGCTTGCCTCCAGAAGTTGTGAATGCTCCAACACTGGAAGGTTTTAAGAAGAGATTGGACAACTATTTGTCTGAAGTGGTGTAGAGTTTCCTGCCTAAGCAGGGGGTTGAACTAGAAGACCTCCAAGGTCCCTTCCAACTCTGTTATTCTATTCTATTCTATTCTATTCTATTCTAT